CACACACACACACACACACACACACACACACACAGAGAGAGAGGTCAGAGGTCAACGTGTGTTTTGAGGGTTTGTGAAACTCACTCACACGGATCTCTAACGAGGCGTTGCACTCCTGAAATGAGCTCCAGCGTCTCGAACAGATCAGCTGCTGTAAATCGCAGCAGTAAACATGATTCTGCTCGCTCTTCAAGCATCTGTCTTTGCTCATCAGAATCGAGGAGGAATCGCAGATACTGACAGCCAGAAGTGCTGCGAGTTTCTCTCAAGCTGAACTCGACTCGAGCTGATTCTCAGGATGTGGTTTTCCAGAAAACATTCAGTTCGAACAACAGAGACAGGAAAAGTGAACAACAGCGATTCAAAGCAGCGGATCGGTATGAAGTCACCGCTTCAGAGGCTTCACCAACATTCACAGCTGCCAGCGGGCGAGAGACAGGCACACAGACTGAGAGAGAGAGAGAGACACTCCCACTCAAATCCAGTCTGATTGCAGCCAAACCAGAAGATTAAAGTGCTTTGAACTGAGAGAAACTCAAGCCAGTCAGTGCGTTTAAAGCTCGCCTTGTTTTGCTTTTTTGTGACACCATTGCCGTTCCTCTCCGTCTGTCAGATGCAGCATTAACAGAGTTTTCTAAATGTTACAAAGACTATGTTTTACTCCATAAATAGCATGTGGATTTGCTTTAACACAACCAGTGCGAGATGAAGTCAGTGAATGCATAATTTAAAGGGATAATTCACTGCTTTACTGGCATGACAAATTTTTTAGACATTTGTTTTGGCAAAGCGATTGCAGCATTGCATGCAATTAAAATAAGAGCAAAATTAAAATAGTGCAAAGCACGTAATATGCATTAAGAGGGAAAGAATACAATGTAGAAGACAAATAAATATAATAAAAAGAAATTTAAGAGAAGAAAGTGAATACAAGTAACTATAGTCATAATATGATGAGAAAGAACCTGTACGACTGACTTTCTTCTCTGAAAGATAAAAACAAGTGTGTGCTATAATGCAAGTCTTTTAATAGTGTTTTAAACTACTCAGGCATTCCACTGAACATGGCGTTTTTGTGAAGAAGGAAAGT